CATCTTACATTTTCCTTTTTTGAGGAATGATTACTGCAGCAGTTATATATGCTTTATTTGATTCAAAACAAAAGGGGTAAAATTCAACACAGGAAGAATAATTTCAAAGATTGATTTGTTGTGGCTTAGTTACTGTCGAACTCGACAAGTAGGGATCATGCTTATGGATATAAACTACACATAAAGGGCTATATCGCTGTTTGATGTCCATTCTGAAATAAGCAGGTAACATAAAGGTAATAAAATTATAAAGGTAATCCCGCAGAGAAATGCTAACAGCTCCCTACACTAATCAGATTGTTCGGGACCAAGAAAAAGAATTTATCTCGTTTCGCGTATCATTTCGCTTTTGACAAGATGGAATCCCATCGCATACTGAGGTAACAAGTCTAAACTTAATTTTGCGCAACAGGGACTGAATCAATGAGACCAGACCGCATGATAAGTGGCCTAGTCTACTACACATCTGTGATCTATCTCCAAACCAGCGTGCCATACGTTTTCATCACCTAAGATCTTAATGTTTGCATGTCTACCAGAACTTATAAATCTACTATGTAAAGTTAGTATGGTATGCTTTATATTAAAACCCTATGATCACTTAAGCTAATTTTATCTGTTGTCAGCGGGCTGTTTGCTCCCCATTTTCAACAATTATATCTTCAACAAAGAAGTATTAGGGCAATATACTATTGAAATTACTTTATTTAGTGAACTCTTGAATGTGAGGCAGTCCCAGGGCATAGGGCAGTAAACCATGTCAAAGACCACTTTCAGACGCAGAAGGATAGATATGTTCGGTCTGTGAACGGATTGTCGGTGTTACAGGATTCAACGGGGATTGGGAATGTGGTAGACATAACCAGCCTTAGAACTGGGCTAGTTCTCGCGCGCGCACACCTCACGTGTCACAGACAGTGGGCAAAGTATAAGGTCAGAGCGCAATTTACAAACAATTTCTATTGTCTTAGTGGTTAGTGTTTTTCAAAATAGTTTCAAGCCTGTTCATTACCCAGCTAAGAGCCCAGTGGATTAGTCAATCACAAAACGAAGGCTAAATCGCATTCCATGAACACCTACTAGGACGGATAATTGTTTCGTGGACAAACTCGATATCAGTTTCCGTACTCATTTTATATCGGATCAGATTTAAACTGCTCACAATAGACGAAGCCTACTCAGAATCTGAGCAATTTGCTACGCAACAGTTCTTGCGATCATTCCCCAAGCTTATAATGAGTTATCTTATCATGGAAACTCCCCATGATGTCATATTCGTCATCCGGAGTAATCGATGTTTTGATAGGCAAACATTCAACCGAGATGAAAAGGATCCATTTCTCCTTCTTTGATCGTGTACTAGAATCCAGCATCCTTCTAATTGACATTTGGAGAGTTTTCTTGTTCATTAAGGAATTCCGTGGTTGGTTGTATTGCGAAGTGGTGATTTGTCGTTCTTTGAATGCTAATAAGCGCCGGTAGCTCCAGTTACATTTTGAGTGTCCGTTTTCTTCAGCTTTACTGTGATGTATAGAGCACCTGCCTTGCAGCGGGTCATGGGCCGTTTCCGCAGACATAGACTACAGAAAGTGGTGGTTTTGAATGGAATGCCTTAAGCTATAACCGATAGAAGTGTGGTAAAAAATAGGGGATTTTTTGTGAGGGAGAGGGGTTGCTGCTCGATAGGAACAATTCGTGGTTTTCTGAAGGTCAGGTAGGCGAACTTTGTTGAGTGCTCCGGTAACTAAGGTTGCATGTGGACCGGCGAGGCAGAGTTCTGACGAGTACAGTGGGCTACTTCTGAGTATGGAACTCTACAAAGGTTGGATGTATTCTGTTGAACAGTCCTCATTTGAAACGCACCGTTGTCATTTTGTGAATATACAGACATGCCACACAATGGTATAGTTCCGTAAAATCTTTATTAACCGTAAAGATGTGAAGCACACAGTTGCTTGTAATGCAAGTGTAGTCCGGATGGGAGTTCCAAGCGTGAAACCCAAAACAATAATGACACTAGCAAACCCCTCGAGTGTCGAATACCAAAGTTTATGATACATAACAACGAAATGTGACAAGATTGTATTTTAATAGCACAGTGAAAAGCTCTTATGTCTGTTTGAAAAACTATATACGTCTAATTTTAGTTTGACAGGCATTCGCTTAAGTAGCTAATTATCTCATCAGATACATTGTTAAAACGATGAGTGAATCTATGTAAAACGGTGAATTCAGCACCAGAAATCCAATACTTTCTAATAGACTGAACTTACGGCGCAAATGCTACCTGATATCCGATGCTCGGGACGGACAGAATGCACTTCGCGTGATTTATGAGAGTCGAAGAGATAGCGATGCATGACCATTGCTATCCCCGAATGGTGGCAACGAATTAATATTTATGGAGTTCATATAGTTTTCGAGAATATGGGATTGATTTTTGTCTTGGGTTCGTAACGGACCTTGAAGGTTATAAATAACACTGTATGTATTTCAGATGAGTATTAATACTTGAGAATCGGCATTTTGTTAAACCAACTAATCAAAAAGAGTGCGTGTTATCGCAAGTTCACTAAATTCCGTTTTTAGTATCTAGCTCACGAACATTGCAGCCTTCAGTTCTTTCTG